CTTCTGTGAGATCCTTCCTTCTGTGAGACCCTGACTTGGTTTATTTTATGATACCCTGCCGTCCGTGAGACCCTGCCTTTGTTTAATGGGCGAGACCCTGTCTTCTGTGAGGCCCTGCCTTTCTGTGAGACCCTGCCTTCCTTGATGTGTGAGACCCTGCCATCTGTTTAATTTATATCGAAAAATGTGCTACATATCTATAGATTGTATCTTGCTCCTATCATAGACCAAATATATAATCCTAAGCTTCAGTTATGGAAGAATGTCCAGGGCCGGTCCTGTCATTCTGCCGCCAACCAGAAAGTGAGTAAGGGCAGTTCGCGTGTGGGAGCAGTAGAGGAGAGCAACAGTTCGGGAGCGTGTGATTTCACGGGTGAAAACACCTTCAGGTGCGGAATCCTTGATTTCCCTGTCTATTGTGTGAGACCCTGCATTGCGTCATATGTGATACGCATGCCTGTAGCCAAACTAGGCTTCTGCCTTGTGTGAGACCCTGCCTTTGTTTAATGGGCTAGACCCTGTCTTCTGTGAAGCCCTGCCTTTCTGTGAGACCCTCTGTGAGATCTTGCCCTTCTGCGAGGCCCTGGCTTCTGTGAGGCCTTGCTTTCTGTGAGACTCTGGCTTCTGTGAAGCCTTGCCTTCTGTGAGAACCTTCCTTCTCTGAGACTTTGCTTTCTGTGAGACCTTGCATGCTGTGAGGCCCTGCCTTCTGTGAGGCCCTGCCTTCTGTGAGGCCCGGCCTTCTGTGAGAGTTAGGCCTCAGTTCAACATGTGACACCTTATGTTCTGTGAAACCATGCCTTTGTTTCAGATGTGAAACCATGCCTTGTGTGAGTCCCTGCTATGAGTGACACACCTTGCTTTCTGTGAGACCTTGCCCTCTGAGACCTTGCCTTCTGTCAGACTCTGGCTTCTGTGAGGCCTTGCCTCCCTGACTTCTGTGAGGCTTTGCCTTTTGTGAGACCCTTCCTTCTGTGAGACCTTGACTTGGCTTATAGCCTGAGGCGTCCGGTAGGCAGGAAATTTAGTGTTACTACTGCCCTAAAATGTGTCCGATTTGGTGTGTTTTTAGCATGTTCGTCGGGGGGCTATTTTCGCAGGTTTTGGACAACCAGGGGTAGCAGGCAGAAGTGTACCTCAGAAGGGTGCGAAACATATTGTGGCTTTTGCTTACTGCACCTCCTTTCCATTGAGGATATAATGAGCATATTCATAGACATGTGCATATATACAAATAGATAGGTAGATAGGTAGATATAGATATATAGATAGATAGAGAGACATCGCCTCAGTTCGCGGCTCCATTTGCTGAACAGCACTGGCACTAACACTAGCACCAGCACTAGCACTGTCTACACTGTCTATCCTTAATGTATGCATGTACGCTGCCTGTCCGTGCGGGCACCCATACAACCCCGCAAATTAGGAGCAAATAGTACTGTAGTTCCATCATGGGGTAGAGAAGGACCAAGAAAGAAGAGGGGAAAAAGAAAGCACACCCGCCGCCCCCACCAGTTGGCAGAGGGTGCATCTGCTTACTGCAGTACTATGTGTTTCATGACCTTGGGGTATTGGATACTAGGGGCAAGAAAAATCAAAACCGCCACTCCCACCAGTTGGCAGAGGGTGCATCTCCCACCGCTACTATTCATAGCTAAGGATGGCCGGTAGGCAGGGATCCGCGCTGATGATCTAGTAATACCGAGTAAGAATTGTACCCCCATGCCCATCTAGTTGGCAGGTACACTTAAGTACCCCCGTGATAGCAAATTCTGAGGTATATGTAATTTGTTTATATACATAATGGTGGGAACCCCGGCCCCAGTAGGCAGATTCCGCTACATACAACATATAAACAAAGGCACCCCAGCAGGCAGAAGTGTACCTCAGAATTTGCTATCATGGGGGTACTTAAGTGTACCTAATCTGCTTACTAGATCATCAGCGCGGACCCTGCCTACCAGCTGTCCTTAACTATATTCTATGATACCCTGCTGCCTTCTGTGAGACCCTGGCGAGACCCTGTCTTCTGTGAAGCCCTGCCTTTCTGTGAGACCCTGCCTTCCTTGATGTGTGAGACCCTGCCATCTGTTCTTATCGAAAAATGTGCAGCATGTCTATAGATTGAATCTTGCTCCTAGTATCTTCAGTCATGGAAGAGTGTCCAGGGCCGGTCCTGTCATTCTGCCGCCAACCAGAAAGTGAGCAAGAGCAGTTCGCGTGTGGGAGCAGTAGAGGAGATCAACAGTTCGGGAGCGTGTGATTTCACGGGTGAAAACACCTTCAGGTGCGGAATCCTTTATTTCCCTGTCTATTGTGTGAGACCCTGCATTGCGTCATATCTGATACGCATGCTTGTAGCCAAACTAGGCTTGGCACCCCCCTGCCTTCTGTGAGCCTGGCTTTGTTCAATGGGCGAGACTGTGTCTTCTGTGAAGCCTTTCTGCGAAACCCTCTGTGAGACTTAGCCTTCCGTGAGACCCTGGCTTCCGTGAGGCCTTGCCTTCTGTGAGACCCTGGCTTCTGTGAGGCGTTGCCTTCTGTGAGACCCTTCCTTCTCTGAGACCCTGCCTTTGTTCATAATGTTGGACCCTCTGTGAGACTTTGCTTTCTCTGAGACCTTGCATTCTAAGAGGCCCTGCCTTCTGTGAGAGTTAGGCCTCAGTTCAACATGTGACACCTTGCGTTCTGTGAAACCATGCCTTTGTTTAAGATGTGAAACCATGTCTTGTGTGAGTCCCTGCTATGAGTGACACACCTTGCTGTCTGTGAGACCCTGGCTTCTGTGAGGCCTTGCCTTCTGTGAGACCCTGGCTTCTGTGAGGCCTTGCCTTCTGTGAGACCCTGGCTTCCGTGAGGCTTTGCCTTCTGTGAGACTCTTCCTTCTGTGAGAAACCTTGACTTTGTTTATTTATGTTTGTTTTATGATGCCCTGCCTTCTGTGAGACCCTGCCTTTGTTTAGTGGGTGAGACCCTGTCTTCTGTGAAGCCCTGCCTTTATGTGAGACCCTGCCTTCCTTCATGTGTGAGACCCTGCCATCTGTTTTAATTCATTTGAAGATGTTTGATGGGCGAGACCCTGCCCTACCTTGCCCTCTGTGAGACCCTGCCATTTCAAGCTCGTTCATTTGAAGATGTTTTGGCCTACAAGAAACAGGAGACCACTGCTGTCCTGATTCTCCTTTGAGAATCACATGTGATGGATCTGCCCACAGGCTTTGTACGAACCTGAGCCCTTGACATTGCAAAATCGTGCTGGATACCATCCAAGCGCACTGACTGAGAAATTTGAGCCACAGTTCTCGCAAACTGTCAAATTCTCAAATTGTCATGTTTTTATGTCCCTTGTCATGTTGTCATATGTTTTTCATTATCTTCCATTATTTTCCCTAATTTCCCATGTTTTCTCATATTTTTAAAGGGTTTTTTCTCACCCCATTTGGGTCTCACCCCCCAAACTTTTCAGTAATATCTTATCTAGTCTTGATCTAATCTTATCTAGCCTTATCTAATCTAATCTTATCTAGCCTTATCTAATCTAATCTATTATCCTATCTATCCTATCTATCCTATCTATCCTATCTTTCCCTATCTATCTATCTTATCTATCCTATCTATCTTATCTATCTTATCTTTCTGATCTATCTGATCTATCTGATCTATCCCACCTATCTTATCTATCTCATCCATCTCATCTATCTTATCTATTCAACCTATCTTATACATTTTATCCATCTTATTTATCTTATTTATCTTATCTATCTAATCTAATCTACCTTATCTATCTTATCTATCTTATCTCTTCGATCTTATCTATTCAATCTATCTATCTATCTATCTATCTATCTGTCTATCCTATCCAATCCTATCCAATCCAATCCTATCCAATCCAATCCAATCTTATCTTATCTAATCTATCTTGTCTATCTAATCTGTCTGATCTGTCTAATCTGTCTAATCTATCTATTGTATCCAATCTATCTAATCGATCTAATCGATCCAATCTATCTAATCTATATAATCTATCTAATCTGTCTAATCTGTCTAATCTGTCTAATCTGTCTAATCTATCTAATCTGTCTAGTCTATCTAATCTATCTAATGTCTCTAATCTATCTAATTATCTAATCTATCTAATCTATCTAATCTATCTAATCTATCTGATCTATCTAATCTAATCTAATCTAATCTTATCTTATCTTAATCTAACCTAATCTAATCTATCTATCTAAATTATAATTCCATTTGAATTATATTTAGTTTTTTTTTGATATTTTTAATTTTCATATATATATATTTACATGCATATATATACATAGATGTTTATGTATATACACACGTATATGCACATATAGTATATGATATGTATCTGTATCTGTACCTGTATATATATATATATTATTTATGTATATACATGGATGTATGTACACACACATATACATATACATATGCATATGCATATACATATACATATATGTACACATGCATATACATATACACATACACATACATACGCACCCACACACACATACACACATATATATATATACATACACATAAACACGGGTGATATAATATATTGCTATGATATAGGTGTAATAGCTAGATGTGTCTACACAGTATAGGTTGTCATAATGGGTTGGCCAGCTCTGCCCATAGTCCACACCAACCTCTCCCATGCCAAGCCTGAGTTGCAGGTGGGACTGTTGTGATGTCGAGCTTGCATGAAGAATTCAGAGAGCGGAAGAGCTGCTTGTAGACGGTCGCAGTGTTGCTAATGTACTGAGCCCAAAGTTGGCCTTGGAACTGTGCTGCGGAAAGACCTGACGTTTAGAGGAATTGCTAGGCAAGTTGAGCAGACCAATGAAATGAAATGGTTGATGTGATATGATGTGATGCATTTTCCATATCAAATGTGTCTTGAATGTGACTGCTCTCAGACAACAAAGCAACGAAGTGACAAGTCTTTTCCCGTTATCTTTCTATGGCCATTGCGCCAGGACCATCAGCCTCCGCCATTGTCTGAGATCGTGCTGGCTCCTTATTTTCAACACTTGCGTGAGCCGGTTGCAAAGTCCTCTGCCGGCAAAGCAATTTCAAGATGTTTCAACAGTTTTCGGATGAATCAACCATCGAACAGCCATGGATTCTGTAGCTCACCTGGCCCTTGTGGAAGTTGTACCTCGGTAAGATCTGGATATGTCACTGTTTCGTCCTTGATTGCGTTTTCGAGAATGCTGCACACGTGTTTTCCTTGAGGCGCTTCCTGGATGTCGTTCAGGTTTCCGACTCAGTGCTAGTCACCGTGCTGTGAGATGCTGTGAGCAAAGAAAAGTGCCGTCAAGGATCAAGGGACATCAAGGGACGACGTGGCAAACAATGCATTTTAGCTTCGAGCCCCCATTCTGAATTGGCTGAGGAGTGGATGGACAGGTGCAGGAGCCTGTCTCGAAGTGGCTGGTTGGCCTGAGTCATGCTTCAACATGGTTTTGTTTCTTTAGCGTAGGGTTTGATGGTCTGCATCCTGGCTAGTGATGCCCAGTAAAGGACCAACATTGCGGCAGTCCATTGCCGTGGAGGGAAGGCGTGGGCCTTTCTCAGGTATGTCAATGAATCACAAAATATCAGAAACACATTCGGCCAACATGAAACCGCACATCCTGCAAGCAATGCCCTGCAACACTCCAGGGCCGCACGGGCTCTTTTTGTTGCGCCTGGCTCCTTTATACCAAGGCCGGTTGCACATCACGGGAATGGTCCTATGATTCTTGAATAATAATTTGGATCATTCTACACACGCACACAGACTCACACATGTATAAATACCTATGCATATACACACAAATAAATAAACAACGAACGAAATAAACAAACATTTAACATGTTAGATTGTGTGGTAGGGGTTGCAATCTTTTTGTTTCATTGTTGGCCTAATTTTGGTAGCTTGATGGTGCCCTTGAAGTTCTGGAACCATCCAATGTTCGATTGGTAGGAAGCCGACGATGCCCAAGATGCTTTGAACTTCTTCGCGCTGCGCAGGCGCGTTCCCCAAACCATCCCAAACCCGTGTGTTTCCCAGTACTGAATTAAACACTATATATTTTACAGCAGGCACACTTACATGTACGTATATCTATATACGTATGCACACACACACACACGCGCACACACAAATACATACATACATAAATACATACATACATACATACATACATCCATACATGTATACATGTATACATGTATACATACATGTTTTTTTTTTCTTTTTTTAATATATATATATATATACATATGGCAAATGTATATATATATACTGCATACATATTGTTATATGCACACCTTGTTTTGAGGATCTTGTGGGCATTTTGTCGCTGTGCAATTGCATTTGAGTTGTTTTGCAGCCTCTCTTTTTTCAATTTGCATTTCATTTGACCATGGACCTCACATGCCAGAACGGACATGGCACAGAGAAAGATGTCGAAGGCCAGCGTATGTCATATGATTATATGGTATGCAGAAATGATGGGCCCCAAGGGCCCCAAGTCATCCACCATTTGCTAATCTGTTTTAGCAGGGGAAGTCCTGCTGCAGGTGCAAGGGGTGGAAACTCCATCGCAGGTGCGCTACGTTGGTTATGTTTGGGGCTTATTCGAGTGTCAATGTCGACCTTGTTGACTGAGTGTTTTTTGAAATGGATGAACATGGTAACATGAGACAAATGAGCAATGCCAAAGCCCATGAATTTCCCAAAGTCAATCGGACCATCAGCTGATCAATAATTATGGAGGTCGACCCACGGTAATTCAGAAGTACACACTTCTGTTTCACAGATGGTCAGATGGTCGGCATTTCCTGATCACAAAGAGTGGAACACCATTCTACAATATGATCAACATGCTACAGCTCGTGAGGGCCGGTATGGTCTAGTGATGTCTAGTGGATAAGACGCATCCCTCATGCGTCAGACCCGGGTTCAATATCCGGGTGCAACACTAGGCGGACAGGCGGGCCAATACCCTACCCCTGCAGTTAAGGGGATGAGCTAGGGCAGCTAGGGTGTGGTCCGTAAACACACTCTCTCAACATGCTACAGCTCGATTCAAGTTCTCACCGATCCAATGCAGATCCATCACCGGTCCATGCAGATCCAGCATTTTGCACACAGAGTCAGTTGAGTGCGCTGGGTTCCACTCCTAGGGCCTTTGCTGTTGGCCACATTGGCAACGCTTCCCCGAGGTTGAAAGGTTGTTGCGGGAGCAAGCTGCGCAGAAGTCTCAGTTCACCATTTTTGCCCTTGACAGGTGACCCCGTTCCAAAGTGACCACGGTGGTTTCTGGTTCTGGTGAGATCCCCTGGGATTGGTGATTGTCAGACGGCTCCCATGAGCTCGTGCTGAGGTTCAGCCCCACCAAGGTCTTTGAGCCAGCAGCACCAGAGGTCCGCACTTTGAATGGCATAGGCCCCCCATCATAGCTAGACATCCAGGTCATAGTTTAACTTGTTCCCATGCCATGTTTTGAAGAATTTGTTTGGTGTATGTATCCACCCGCAATGTTTGAAGAAAGTGGATGCCAAGCTGCAAAAATCTCCGAAGCGATGCACATGCCGCCTGGCCATTATACCATACCGCAAGCACTGCAGCGCAGGTGCGATTGCGATCCTTCAGGATACGGGCTCCCTTCATCCGGGAGTCCATGGCGGAAAAATGTCAAGGCCCATATGAACACTTCTGAACAGCAAAAACGGAGGGAGGTACACAGATATATACATAGATCAGTTTCTCAGCAGCGGTGATTGCATTTGTGCAGGTCAGCAGCTGGTTCTGGCCGTCCAGGCATTGGTGCAGTTTCAAGTTTCAATCAATTTGCTTTGCCCAAATCTAACTGCCATGGCATTGTTGTACTTGAACCCCACTTATGATATAGTTATGATATAGCTATGACACAGTTATGATATAGTTATATAATCCCAATTCTTGGATATTGTGGGTATTAATATGTTATCCTTGGGTATCTTGGGGTCTTACGCTTCCATCAGGATCATGGTGGTGAGAGTCGTCACACAGCTCCCTTCCGACTGGACCAGCTCCATGAAGATAAGGAGGGGAAATTGATGTGCAACTGGCAGCCGTTCCTCAGCAACACGCCCAGTCATGGATGGGTTTTGTAGTGCCCCATCTCGCACTGCCAATGCGAGAGGTGTGGACTTTCGATCAGAAAGCTGTTCGTCAGAGTCTTACCAGTGCCAGTAAGGGTGTCATGGATTTGCACTGTCACCTGCACTTGAAGAGTTGAGCACATGCCAAGGTGGTGACATTTGCATGTCTGTGCCGCTGCCTTAAGTTTCCTCATATCATGGGTGCTCATGGTCACGATATCTGATGGTTGGGGCAAGTCTGGAGTTGGAACTCAGGTACCTATGTCCCACAGAGTCCGCAGAGGCTTGGCAACAGGATTCTTTCGGGCTTCAACTGGAGGGGCCGCGATCTCCCGAGATGAATTCTCAAAGCCAAGGCAAATGATGGGATGTCAGGCTGGCCATTCAGCTTTGATTCTTGTGCATCAACACGTGTTGCATTGACATGGTGTGACGTGTATGTTTGTGGAAAAGTTTGAGTTGAAAGGCGGGAAGCGTGGGAAGCAGAAACAGAAGCATCTCTTTGGCTGCACTGTCTGGGGCTCCGCTGAATGAAGTTGCCATAAGTTGCCATAAGTTGCCTAGTGAACATCAGCAACCATCAGCAACCCAGGTTCACAGCCTCTTCCTGGAGGGCCAGCAGCTCATCATCCCAGTGGCAGAAGTGGATCAGGCCTGTAAGGAGCCTGCGAAGTATGACTCGCATGGCTCCCTGGTCTTGGAGTATGAAACCTTCTGATGCCGACTCCGCCAGTGACTTGGCGACGCGACGAATCTGCCGCAGCATTCCGATGTGCAAAGATTTCATCGGCTCAGTGACAACGAATCACAAATGTTTGTGCCATCCAAGATGGGTGCTATGTTTGTGCGCTTTTGATTGTGCCTGTGGTGATGAAAAAGACATAAAAAGACCATGTCAATCTGAGAGGCGTAAACGTCAGCAAACAGAGCAGCCAAGGACTCAAGCTGGTCGCAGACAGTAAGTCCAAACGAAGCGAATGTCTATTTGTGTCCTTCCGGCTCCAGCCTTGCGGCTCCATGGGTTTGGACATGCTTAGGTGGGAAGCCGGGTGGTCAAACCATGCTGCCATGTAGCAGTCTGCAGTGGAAAAAAGGGGATCTCAACGATGGCCAAAGCAGGTGACACAGCTGCAACAGTCGCATCTCAACACGTCTCTGTTTCGCCCGCAACGGTGCAATGGATGCTCCTGCGGTTGAAGAGTTGGCCCCTCCAGCGCCTGATGCGGGAGGCATTGCCATGAATCATGAAGAGCAATGCAAGTTGCACCTTGGTTCAATTTGGTTGGATGCTCACAGGCCCTACTTCGCCACCCAGAATAGTTCGGAGCCTCAACTCTTTGCAGGATCTGACCGTGGAAGGATTAAAAGATATTAAAAGAACAATGGGAATGTGATCCAATCAGAATTTTCCTGAGCACCATGGCACTTGCTTCAACATTTCCACACTGCCTCGTGGCACTTGCTTCGCCGCTTGGCTTCAGATTTCTTCAGCGTTTCCTACGTATATTTCCCGAGCATGGCCGAAGTTCCCGTGCTTCGTTTGCCCCACGGGACGCAGCGCCGCTATGTGAGGCGACAGTTGATGCTCGCCGGAAGCAACAAAAACACCGTGGTTTCATTCACGCCCCAAAATGTATCACAATGTGACTTATTGATACTTATTGTGGTTTGGGTGTAGTGGCAACTGCTTTCTTGGGGCTGTCAAGAGTGTTTTCGATCTGGTGTCTCGTTCAATGCATCCTTGAAAACGTCTATCTTGCATTTCGATCCAGATCGCTCAGCTCTTCCTGTTGGAAGCACTTTTTCGATAGGCGAAAGTTGCAGTGGTCCTCCGTGCGAATGGCTGCCCTTGGCAGCATCGCAATGGTAGCCGCTGCTACGTGGTGCTTCGTACTTGGCTCAGAGCATAGATCTGGAAACTGCTAAAAGCCGCTCACGCTCTGAGCCTCAATCTTTTCATGTCATGGCCATGGCCTCGATATTGTTGCTCATGGCCATGGCATCATGTTGGCGAAGGATTCCTATGTTTGCTTGGGTGGCTGCTAAATCATATCCCCTATTTTTGTCTCTGAGCCGGCCCTTCTCTATCCTTTTTATTATATAGTGGCTGCTTCACAATTTCCGGGCTGGGTGTTTTGGGCTTGCCTTCTGGCCATGCCTCCTTGATATGGTCGTGCGATTCCATGTGTCTCATTTTTCTGGGATGCTTTTCTGTACACAACCTCCATTGGGGAGTTGGCAGTTTGAGTGCCAGCATTCTCCTGATTACATTGGCTTAAAACCCCTGACATCCCTGGCAAGGTATTTCCCAGTCAGAAGCAAGAAGCGTCCATGACACGCAGTGGCCGCAGAGCCCAAGCTGTTCTGGAAGATGTGGACACAGGCGATATCAAACATGTCAATGATTTTTCACACACACACATATATATACACATACGCATATACTAACTTTTTTTCCCCCCTTCTCACCTCCAGATTCTAGATGTTGAAGGATTGACATGGATTTGCAACTCAGTGGTTTCTGAGATCTGATGGAAATCTCTTGCTGGGCTTCCTTGACGTCAGGCCAAGCGGGCGACGGCTCACAGGGCTCCGGCTCGCTGCCTCGATTCCAAGCCAGGGAGGTGGGCAGTGCTGAGCAGCTGATGCTCAGCCGGATGCCCGAAGGGCAGCTCCGGCAGCAGATTTGGAGGAAAACTGGACCTGTTACAGCCTGTAGCCTGTGGACACAGTCATATTTTAGCTGCGACTTGAATAAGATACATCATTGCTAGTCAAGTACGAATGCTAGCATCAAGTGAATCAAGTCTCATGAAGTAGTGATCATTTCGCATTTCGTGATAGTTTCATGATTACTATTGCGTTTGAGTTTTTTCAAACAGGTCGCAAGACATTTTATATAATACATTTTAGGCATCCTATTGTAGAACCCGCTAAACTGGGCCGAGGCATATGATCACAACCCACGCGTCCTTGGCGCTACTGGAAGGTTCTTCGGCTTCAGCCTTCCAATGAAATGTGTTGTTGGGATGTCTGGGGTAGTTATTCACATCTCAATTTCATATCTAATTTATACTATATATATATTGTATGTTCATCTATTCTCATCCATAATTATTGTATCATTTTTTATATGTAGTCTGCAGTGATTTGATAGTCTATCTTTTGGCTTGAGCAACAAGGTAACGCCCTCACTAACTGTGCGCGGGGGGAATACGGCCTTGGATTTGGGTCAGGAATGGCTCCTTTTTGCTTCCTTTCAATCGATTCAATCGCCTTTGCTCTGAAACAGCTCTGGCACAGAGGTGACCTGCATTGCAGCGCCACATCCAACTAAATACATATTCAAACAATTCTGGGTTGATCAAACCACGTTTGCGATATTTGGCTGTAATATCAGTACCAATGCGGCTTGTCAATTCGCTTCATCCTCTGTCCAATGTTTGTGTGCCGGCCCTGAAATGTTTTGCCATCTTCGGCGCACCCACTGCTGCAACTCAGTGTGTGTGTGTGTGAACCATCTGAAAAGATGTAAAACTTCTACTTCCGATTTTACCTGGTCCTTCTTCATTTTTCTTCTGGCACGGGAAAAGAGTTAAACTTCCCTGATTTTTGTTGGCATTATCTCATTTCATTTCAAGCAGGGGGCCGCTGGGGAACATTGCAGTCAGCGGCCAACGAAGACGCTGCAATGTTCCTGTGAAAACGTACCTGCAATTTTCCAGTTTTTCGTCAATGGCAACCGGCTAAGCCAAGAACCGGCATGTCGTTTTCAAACAATTTTCAAACCAAACTTGATGTCAGGGAGGGAACGATTTGCGTCTAGCAAGGACGTGGAAATACAAACTTCGAGATTCTTCTCTGATCTTGTCTTCATACTTTTCCTGTCAGGTTTAATGGAGTGTTTTTGCACGTAAGATGCATTCCACATCAGAATTCGCAAAGATTGTTCTGAGCAAGTGTGTGATTCATGCTGGATTCGTCAAGGTGGCATGAACCCTTCGGGGAATGCTTTTCTAAGCAGGATGTGGATGCAACGACCCGATGTCTGAATTTACACATTTAAATTTAGTAATTCGTTTAAGTAAAGTGAAACAGCCGTTCACCTTTCAGGTTTCACTCTGTCGGTCGTCTTTTGGTTAAACAGTCTGCCGCTGTGACTGGCCTCACCATTTTTGTCAGACTTCCAAGGGTGGCAATGTTTCTGTGAAAACGTACCTGCAATTTTCCAGTTTTTCGTCGATGGCAACCGGCTAAGCCAAGAACCGGCATGTCGTTTTCAAACAATTTTCAAACCAAACTTGATGTCAGGGAGGGAACGATTTGCGTCTAGCAAGGACGTGGAAATACAAACTTCGAGGTTCTTCTCTGATCTTGTCTTCATACTTTTCCTGTCAGGTTTAATGGAGTGTTTTTGCACGCAAGATGCATTCCACATCAGAATTCGCAAAGATTGTTCTGAGCAAGTGTGTGTTTTTTGGGAGGCAAACTGAAGCGGCAGCAAGACAATTACTGTAAGAAAGAACGTTAATGTTCCACCCCATCCCAACCTCCGCCCCACTCCAACTCCATCATCAACACAGGCAAGTACGCGTGCAAAGCATCATGAAGCTTACTCCAGCGTTGCATCAAGTGCGTCTGCAAGTCAACATGAACATCAATGTCCTAGCCACCCTAACCCGAACTCAACCCCATCAACCATCATCAACGCGGCAAGTGTGTGTGCAAAGTAACATGAAGAGTACTTTAGCATAACGCCAAGTGTGTTTGCAAGTTAACGTGGATGTCAATGTCCCACCCCTCCACCCCAACCCCATCATGTCCAAATCCCGCGCTGTTACACGAGGTGTTGCAGACGAGGCGCGCCTCGAGAAGGCTCTGCATTGGGCCATCATTCGACACCCCATGTTGCGCGCAGCGGCACTAGAGCCAAGTGTCCGGGCGAAGGACACAGGTGGGGGTTGCCGAGAAGATGGACCCAAAATAAGCTGGACCAGAAAATTATATATATGTGAATGAACAATACCAAAACAAACTTATACGGTAGGACCGGACCTATAATTATGACCGTATAATTTTGTTTATTCCTTGCTTTGTTGATGACTCTGATTTCTCACTCCACTTGCTTATGGACATGTTGTCGTGCCTTTTCCGCAGAGCCCCAGCTAATGAGATTGCCATTCTTTTTTGCTGCCAGGCCCATTTTTTCATGGAGGCCAGGATGGAAGGCTGGGGGCTGGTCATGACAGAGGTGAAGGTCACCCCAAACTCTGGCCTCTCTCCATAGTTTTGTCACGCTTGGTCGGATTGTCACCAACAGGTGGATGTGGACTCCCACGAATCTCACAAAGGAGGAGATCGTAGAACGGGCATTAACGATTGAAGATGCCTCCTGGCTGCTGTGCGAGCGAATTGAGTCCCGTCATTTTTCTGCCGATTCTTGTCGCCTTATGTTGCTTTGAGGTCTCGGGTGACTTTGACGCCAAGTGTATCCCAGCTCATCTTGGCAAGAAGACACCCAAATTTCGAAGGGAATCCGTGATGTTCTGCATCCCCACATGCGCCTTTTTGCATTTTTCCCGTTCCTCCATATCCTTATTCTTGTGGCCGTTGTCTTAGTTGCACTTGCTTCATGACTTTGGCAGCCACAGCCAAGAGCCTTTGAGGCAAAGAATACTTTGAGCAGTCATTGGACCGAAGCAGCTTCAACTTCAACGAGGGGCCGCTATGGAAATTGCACCTTCTGCGTCTGCAACTTAGCCCGACAACTGATTCCAATCCGTTTCTGTTTGGTTACTGCTGGTTGTCGTTCTTTGGCGACGGCAACATCGGAGGTCAGTCTGGTTTTCGTGGCCCGGCGGGTGGCAGAAGTGCTTTCCTCTTCAGTTTTGTGCACTCCACAGATGATCAGAAGAGCGCCAATATCTTCTTGCACCTCGGCATATCTCGGTCCTTGCTTTGGGATCCACAATGATCACCTAACCACCTTTTTTGCACATCATTTTGTTTGGTGGGATTCTCACTATTGCATACTATTGCAACAAACTTCCTTTGATGTATGATGGCTGCATTGGTCTCTCGGCCACCACATCACCACATGCGACGAAATAAGGCATGACTTGCTGTCCCACATGGAGGAAGAAGGTGCCACGGGCAGGGTTTACAGTTACATTTCAGACTAGGGTGATTAGGGTGGAACCTCCAGTCTGATAAATGGCTCGTGATGGCATCGTCAAGATCAAGGGGTCGCGAACTGATGCTTGATAGATCTTGATAGATCTTAGTAGTACATAGTCGCAAAGGTATATCAGGATACGCCAAAGCATAACGCGCTGCTTTTGGCACATCCATGGGCCACATCAGCTTTCGCAGGTGATTTGAAGGATCCAGAGCCTGCGGAATTGCCGGCCTCTTTGGAGGACCTGATGTTTTCCCAGCTGGGTTTATTCCGCTATAGAATCCCATAGACCACCACACACACAGGTATGTAATGGTATGTACGTATGTGGCAATTGATCTAAAGGTCCTTGTAAGGAGTTTTAATTGCGAAGACATAACATGTCATGTTGGGAACCCTCGCGAAAGTTTTTTGTGAGTTCGCGACAGTAATTTTTTTCGCGAAAGTTTCGTGAAAGTAGCAGCGGAGCTTCCAAAGGTGAGGGTTCGCCACAGCGAACTACCATGGTCCTGAAGCTCCAAACGCAGCAGCCAAGCTTCCAAAAGTGAGGCTTTGCGATAGCAAAACACAAAGGCCCCTGGTGCTTGCTTTTCCTCTGATGCGCGTGTGCTGATGGCTGGGGCCGGGCCTGCGGATAGTTTTTTTTTGCGAAAGTTTCGCGATAGTGCCGTGAAAGTTCTGCGAAGGAGCGGGCGAAAGTCAAAGTGCATTTGAAGGGCGTGGCCCAGTAAGCTGTGCAAAAAAGTATTCAATCAGCAACAATCTGTCCTGAGAAGGGATTCCCTGATGCTAGCTGCGTGCTTACAAAGCTATCAAGCAGTGATCCGTGATGTATAATTTTGCGTAATTTGGCAGGTGATGAATGAATCTTCTTTAACATGGATTCCGGGAAAGATAAACATGGAGTTCGCAAAAGTTTCGCGAAAGTAAACATTTTTTCACGAAGAACGGCCATTCCCACATAAAGGACTTGATCATTTCCATATATAATCGAAGGAAGTTTAGAAGTGAAACTTCCGACAATATGGACAGTTGAAAAGCAGAGGTGAGAAGAGTCAGAAGAGAAAAGATCAGAAGAAAGAAGATGCAGATGCGCGAAAAGATAAGAAAGTCGCGAAACACTGTGTTTTTCCAATGATTTGGGGCTCCGGAGGGTCGAAAAGTAGGCTCGCTAAAGCGGCGGGTGCGGAGCCAGCTGGCCAGATGAGACATGAAAAAGTGCACGCCGTTGTGGCGCGAAGCACATTTCCAAGTCAAAATGGACAAAACACACCAATGTCGGACCACTTTTGGAAGTTGCGATGTCGAAAAAGTGCACGCCGTTGTGGCGCGAAGCACATTTCCAAGTCAAAATGTACAAAACACCCAATGTCGGACCACTTTTGGAAGTTGAGATGTCGAAAAAGTGCACGCCGTTGTGGCGCGAAGCACATTTCCAAGTCAAAATGGACAAAACACACCAATGTCGGACCACTTTTGGAGGTTCAGATGTCGAAAAAGTGCACGCCGTTGTGGCGCGAAGCACATTTCCAAGTCAAAATGTACAAAACACACCAATGTCGGACCACTTTTGGAAGTTCAGATGTCGAAAAAGTGCACGCCGTTGTGGCGCGAAGCACATTTCCAAGTCAAAATGTACAAAACACAAGGGGTTCGGACCACTTTTGGAGGTTCAGATGTCGACAAAGTGTCGAAAAAGTGCACGCCGTTGTGGCGCGAAGCACATTTCGAAGTCAAAAGTGTAAAAAACTGAGGGTTTTGAGCCTTTTTTGACGTGAAGATGTCGAAAAAGTAGACACTGATTAACTTAACTAACTTGACTAACTTAACTAACTTCACTAACTTAACTACCCTAACTTCGACGACAACAGCAACAGCAACAACAACACAACAACAACAACAACAACACCAACCACAACAACTACAACTACAACAACTACAACTAGAACTACAACTACAACAACTACAACAGCAGCAGCAGCAACAACAACAACAACTACAACTACTACAACTACAGCAACTACAACAACAACTACTACTACAACAACAACTACTACTACAACTACACTACACAACAACTACAACCACACAACAACTACAGCTACAACTACAACAACAACAACAACAACAACAACAACAACAACTACAACTACAACTACACAACTACAACTACAACTACAACTACAAAACAACTACAGCTACAACTATATGACTGCAACCACACTACACTAATTACATTACACCACAACTACAACTCCACTACGCTACAACTACAACTACAGTTGCAGTACATCACACTACATCCAGCAGTTGTGGGTGAGGTGACCACTGCAACCATTGCAACCACTCCAGCAAACACAACTCCAACCACTTTTCGGTCAATCAGTGGATTCGCTCTGCCATCCGTGATTCACAACAACCAACCTCTCCTATAGGTTTCTTATTTTTGAAACTTCCGCCACCGCCTTGTGCGGTACTACTGGTATAATAAGATTCATTATATACATTCCTAAAGCACCAAGTGGTATAGAAATTTGTGGTCGTTTTTTTTTCTAGTCGTTTCCTCCATTTCAAGTCGTTTCCCCAATAAGTGGTTGTTTCACAAAAAAGTTGGGCTCAAAAGTTGCCGTTTTATTCTTAGATCCCAGCCAAACCCCTACAGCTCCTCTGGTGAAATGCAAAACTAAGTAAATCCAATAAGTTCGCCGATGTCCAGGTGCTGGTCTTGTGGCTTGTCCGTGTGCTCCAAGCACGCTGTACCGTTTTCAAGAGTCTTGCAGGAAGCAAGTCTAGGGTCGGACATCACAAAAGTGCTTACAAGACTTAAGCTGCTTAAGGCTTAAGCCAGAGTGCTGCCTGCCACAAGAGAGACAATTCATTCACAAAAACGGACCTACTAAAGATACTAAAGCCACTAGGCAAAAAAATCCTTTTGTAAAACAACTTTAGTGGATCCGTTTTTGGGATAACACGTAAAAATATGGTAAAACCCGTCAAAATCAATTTCCGAACTCTCCGAACTACGTTTTTGGGATCGTAAATTCCGAATAGTACCAGCTTCGACCTCCGAACCCAAAAAATCAACGTTTTCTGGATTCGAAATTTCGAAAACCTACTACTTTTTAAAATTGTGCTCGAGTTGCGCAAAATTGTGCTCGAGTTGAGTTGCACTCCGTTTTTTTCCCCATCTTGCGTCCGAAATCCGTACGAACCCAAAAAGTGACCGTGAATTTATTTGAAGTCCGTTTTTTGAGAAACGGTACGATTTTCTCCGAATTTATTCCGGTTGGGCTACGTTATTTTGCGTTCAGCCAAAGTTGCATTGAAATTTGTCGCAAGTCAAGTGTCCGAACTGTCCAAATTGGGCTGCAGTCCGCCAGGTGAAAGTCATGTTTGAACATAGCACTCACAGCTGGTGAGCTAAGACCTTGGATAAAATTATAATTTGATTCTTAAGAAGTAGCTTGAAACAGTCAGCAATCAAAATTCATTTTGCGGGAATTTATTTGCCACACGTAGACCTAAGCAAACGCTTGTAAAAACATTCAGACTACAGTATGTGTAAAGACTTGAGGGCACGTTGAAGAAGGTCACTAGGTTGCCTTTCTTAAGGTTGAAATGGCAGCGGTCGAAGATGCTGACCCAAATTTCTAGTTGTTTCTTGAAAAGTAGTCGTTTTGCCATTTCCAGTCGAATTGTCAGTTAGTGGGCCCTTTCTCAATAAGTAGATATAAGTAGTACAAAAGTGGGGTCTACCACTTTTTCCCGAGAGCGTCTGAGCGAAGGGTTCTTCTAATAGTGGGGGTCTGTCAAACATTTTCACATCTTCACATCTTCACATCTTCTCATCCTCACATCTTCACATCTTCTCATCTTCACATCTTCACATCTTCTCATGTTCACATCAGATCTTCACATCTTCTCACCTTCACATCTTCACATCTTCACATCTTCACATCCTCACATCTTCACACCCTCACATCTTTACATCCTCACATCTTCACATCTTCTCATCTTCACATCACATCTTCACATCTTCCCACCTTCACATCTTCTCATCTTCACATCTTCTCATCCTCACATCTTCACATTCTCTCTTGCCCTCTTCATCTTCTCATCTTCACATCTTCACATCCTCACATCTTCACATTCTCTCTTGCCCTCTTGCTCTCTTGCCCTCTTGCTCTCTCCTTCTTTTCTATTCACGAAAGCTAGCGTCAGCTAGCTGGAGTCTTCTTGCTTTAGCAAGTATTCCGGGGGCTGCTCAAGGACATCACGTGATTTTTCACGCGAAAGGGGGGGACCCCCCCACCACCACCACCACCACCATCACCACCATCATCATCATCATCATCATCGTCATCGTCATCGTCATCGTCATCGTCATCATCATCATCATCATCATCATAATCGTCATCGTCATCGTCCTCGCCATCGTCCTCGTCATCGTCGTCATCATCATCATCATCATCATCATCATCATCATCACCATCACCATCATCATCGTCATCGTCATCGTCATCGTCGTCGTCGTCGTCGTCATCATCATCATCATCATCATTGTCATCGTCCTCGCCATCGTCCTCGTCATCGTCATCATCATCATCATCATCATCATCATCATCGTCCTCGTCCTCGTCCTTGTCCTCGTCATCGTCATCGTCCTCGTCCTCGTCATCATCATCATCATCATCATCACCATCATCGTTAATCAATTACATTTTATCATTTTTGGCAATTATTGGCATTATCACGAAAGCTAGCGTCAGCTCGCTAGAGTCTTCTTGCTTTAGCAAGTATTCCGGGGCTCCCCAAGGACATCACGTGCTTTTTCACGCGAAAGGGCCCCCCCCTGCCCCCTCCCCCATATATATCATTGTTATATATCATATATCATATATCATTGTTGCATCCTCGTTGGGACGAACAATGCCGCGACACGATGATGACAGTCCCTCCGCAACTCACCTCTTCCCTTCCTTCTTTCTCCTACCCCGCTAGCTTTCGTCATCCACCCCCGGCCTCAAGTTCTCTCTTGAAGGCGCAGGGCAGTGCCAACGAGACGGCACGAAACGCAACCCTTTTCGCACGAAACCAGGTTCGATCGCCAAAAACTGACGTAAAATTGCGAGTTGCAAAGCGTCCGACGCAACCTTTTCACACGAAATGAGGTTCGATCGCCAAAAACTGAGGTAAAATTGCGAGTTGCAAAGCGTCCGACACAACCCTCTCGCACGAAAT